TTTTTTTTTTTTGGAAGTTAGGAGTCTTTCTATAGTGCCCTATTTATAAAAATACAATTTTAATTTTTTTTAGTGGTAGATGAACACAATACCTTTATTTTGTTTAGTTTTTTTTTTTTAATGTGGTGCTGGGGATCAAACCCAATACCTCACGCATGCTAGGCTAGCACTCTACCACTGAGCCACAACCCCAGCCCTAAAAGTACAATTTTAAAATAAAGTTTTAAAAAGTTTAAAACGGTATTCTCTGGATCAGCTCTTCAAGTTTCATTTCCTGGGTTCAGAAACTGAGGCCCAAAGTGGCGCTATAACTTGCCAAGTGAAGACATTAGTAGCTGTTGTAGCCTCCAGGTGGTACCCCTAACTCTGCCCCCAAGAAATATGGCCAATTAAATGTAATTACACCGGCTTCTCAAAAAAAAAAAAAAAAAAAGTCTTATGGTTGTGGCACAAAGGCCAGAGAAAATAACTAAATTTCTCACTGTACTTCCGGCCTCTACTACTTCAGTGAGTAAATCCTTGAGTCACATAATTTCAACCTTGAACAAAATTTCCAGTGGGCAATGTAATGGCAAATGTCATGATGCTTCCGGTACTGCCCTCGAATGGGGACCAAGCCGAATTGGAATTGTGGAACAGACAATAAGCAGTTCCTGCCTGCAGGATGCGTCACTGCAGAAAAAGAAATCGGGATGGGGTAAATTGGAAGGGCCAAAGGAAAGAAAGCATAATGCACAGATCTGTTCCTGCTGCATCAGATACCTGTACTGAGTAATGGTCAACGTAGCTCCGGGCTGTGCCCCGAAGCCAGGCAAATGACGGCTTAGGTAAGCATCCAAGGACTTGCAGTCTAACTGGTGCTGGGGCAGCACTTCTGCGGTCTCGGGCTCGTGGGCATCCGTCCCCATGACTGTCGCCGAGCTGCAAGCCACAGACTAGACCCGGACAGGTTCTGGAGTGCCAAGGTTCCCCACAGGTTGCAGCAACTACACTTCAGGACTTGGGGGCGAGGCCGGGCGGGGCCTGGCGCTAGCCAATCACACACCTTAGGGCTCCATTACGGCGCTAGGCCGGCCCGCTGAATCTGGCGACTTGAGAAATACCGAAAGCACCCACGTGTGCTCGAATTTTTAAATTTCTGTCAGTGCCAGCGTTGGAGGGGCTCGGTTTTAAAGAAAGTAAAACCGTAGTTATAGCTGCGAGCGAACAAGGATGTAGGAGTCGCTCCCAGCCGACTTACTGCACCTGCGTGCGGAAGACCTCTAGGGTCCGGTTCAGAAAAGAGACCGTCAGGTCCTCGAGCCCAGAAATAAAAGATCCGGGTGTTTTCTCCTAGCCACTTAGTTAAAAGGCAACGTCGCCGTCCTCTTGCTCTAGGTACTTATAACCCCAGTCCTGCGGCAGCTGGTTATAGCAGATGTAGCGAAGAAAGAACTCAAAAGAGGCGAGTTTTTGCTGAGGGGAGCGATGAGAGGGACGTACCGGAAGCAGTACCTTGGAAGGTCTTTGGGAGCCGCGGAGACGTGTCGGTCTTGGAAGCGCCGGGGGCCTTTCGCTAGGTCTGTGGGCGTGGAAGGTGACGGCAAGTTGCCCAGCAGAGCAGCGTGGGGCGGCGGCGGCGGCGAAGGCCGGGGCTGGGAGGTTTGGCCGCGGGGGTCCCAGCCATGGCCGAGTCCGTGGAGCGGCTGCAGCAGCGGGTACTGGAACTGGAGCGGGAACTTGCCCAGGAGAGAAGTCGGCGGGCCCTGGGTGACGGCGACGGATCGGGCGGCCGGGCCCGCATCGAGAAGATGAGCTCAGAGGTGGTGGATTCCAATCCCTACAGGTGACTGCGTCGCGAGTCGGAGGGGGGCGAGGTCCCGGTCTCGGTGGGGTGAGAAGGGCGCCCCTTACCGCTAGCTCGGCCTCCCGCCACCCTTTTCCTGGTCTGGGGTCCCGTTCCCAAATGCGCAAGGGCACTGTTTAGGGATGGTGGGAAGACGTTGTTTCTCGGTTTTAAAAACCCAAGCGAGCCTTCCATATGGTACTGCTCCTGCTTTCGCGGCGAACGTGCATTCAGGTTCCTGTAGCTCTTGCCTCTAATTACTGCTCCTCACCTCGCTTAGGATTAAGAACGTTCAGAAGACATCAAACGTAAAGCCCGCCTAGCCTAAACTTGGAGATTCATAAAGGCTTTTCAGTGTAATTTAGATGGAGAAGGGCGAAGGAGTTCCAAAGGTATCTCAGGCCTTTCTGCTTTACAAGACCTGCTGTTCCTCTCCTTTCCTCCGGAAGCTTGTCAGTTCAGTGCAGTGGTTAAGGGTAAGAACTATATAGCCGCGCTAATGGGTTTTACCCCCATTTTATAGATGAGAGAATCGAGGCTTAGAGGGCTCTCAAGTTGTTATGTATAGTATAAGGCCTGAAATGAGGGCTGGGGCTGTAACCTCAGTGGTATAGCACATTCCTGAAGCCCTGCCCCCCACCCAAAATAATAATGCCCAAAGCCTGAACTGGCATTAGGTTTCACCTAATCCAAAATTCACATGAAATTATCTTCCCTGTAAAAGTAAATAAGCCATTAAGTAGTGTGGCTAAAAACTGGGTCGTCTTAACGTGAAATAGAAAAGCGCTCTTTTTATTTTTTTTCCTTTAAAGAACATGAGTGTTGATGCTTTTTTTTTTTTTAAGGTTTTTGTTGTTTGTGACATTATAAAGCCTCAGTGGCAGTTTTAAGGTGCACTGTTTAACTGTATTGGTAAATATTAAGGGTTAATGTTCCAAAATCTTTAGAGATTGAATGAGCATGAACTGTTATCTCTAATCAGAATGAGTGCAAACTATTCCATTTGTCATATTGTATCTTTTTTTTTTTTTTTGTGGTGCTGGGGATTGAAGCCAGGGCCTTGTGTATGTGAGGGAGGCGGGCACTCTACCAACTGAGCTATATCCCCAGTCCTGGGTCATATATTTAAAGTAATCTTTCAGACATTATTTTTATGAAAGGCCCATTTAGTGTGGCCCAAATAATCAAAAATAAAACTTTTAGAACTCAAGTCTAAACATTTAGTACTCTGTATCACATGGATACCATTTGACTTTATTAAAATTGCTACAGAGGAGATATCTGTTGATATCCAGGTTGTTTATTGAAATGAAATTATACATGAAAATTGGTCAGTCTTAACTTTTTAAATTGTTCATTCAGCTCAAACATTTACTGAGCCCTCCTTTTTATCTCTAGCCATCTTTGGCATTATTTACCTTTTTATGAGCAGTACACTATGGATGCAAAGTGGATATGGTCTTTTCCCTCCATATTTACTAGATGAGTGTGAGATACATGGAAAAGTAAATATGCAGATACAGTACAAGTTAAAAAATTATGAAAGGGATAGTACAGGGTAATTGGAAAATATAGGAAATGACTTTGAATGTGTTCAACATCATTTTAATTATATCAAATGATACATAAGAAATATAAAGTCCTTGACTCTCAAAGTTCTTTTGCTTTAGTTGGGAAACTAAATGGATGTGGAATAATGGTCATACAACACAAGTTGTATGAATTGCATGAATTGAATAAGCATGAACTGTTTGAACTGTTATCTCTAATCAGAATGAGTGCAAACTCTTCCATTTGTCATATTTCAGTATGTTTGAATTTTACAAATGAACACTTGGAAATTTTCTCTCCAAGATAAAATGCAAAGAAATGTGTGTCTTTTTTTTTTTTTTTTGGTGGTGCTGGGGATTTAATCTAAAGCCTTGTGTATATGAGGGAGGCGGGCACTCTACCAACTGAGCTCTATCCCCATATGGTATAGAATATGATTATAAGCACATGGAGAAACTGGAGAGGCAAGCAGAAGTGTTGATTAGAACACCTAGTTTCAAACCAAAGTTCAGAAACTCAGCTCTAAATATTGTTTGCCAGTTAGCTGACTGTGGGCAGTAAATTATTCTAATTTTTTTTTTTGGTCTTAATTATCCTGTTTTTTTTCCTGGTCTGGGGTCCAGCCCAGGGAGGTGCAATGCATTTTTCTCAGAGGTTATTTTTAAAATTAAAGAGAGCATGAAGATAAAGATGGCAGACCACAGGAACTGACTTTCACTTCTGCCCACTCCCATTAAACAAACAGTAAAAAAAATTTAAAAAAGGGTAATCCCACATTCAGAAAATAGAAGGTTTCCATTAATAATTGGGGGGAGAGGAGTGGGTTCCTATACTTGAAGATTATAGTGACACAATTTTTGAAACTTTGATGGATGAAGGATGACTGATTTAACAGATTCTAAGAAGTTGAATCTTAAACCTGCATCCCAACTTACACCACACAATCGCCCCAGGAGGCTCAGAAATGGGTACAGGTATTCCTAGAAAGTCTTTTGAAAAAACAGAACCCAAGGACCCTTATTCCACTGGGGGTAGCTGAGCTAATGCCCCTTCCCACCAGGAGAAGAGATTGGAGATTTATTTATTGAAGAGAGTAAAATAGAGGATTTCTGCTAATAACTGGGCAGGTATTGATCTCAGCTGCACATTAGAACAGAGAAGTAGCTTTTAAATACATATATATTATTTCACAGGCTACACCAGGAGAAGGGTACATGAGTGTCTGTATTTAAAGCTACTAAGTAATTTAGTTCCATCTGGAAAAAAAAACAACTGAAAGATTCCTCTTATTTTAAAAGAGGAGTAATGATTGAATTTCAGTGTTTATTTTATGTAATGATGTATGTCTGTTTATATCACTGTTAACTAATCAATTGTAGCTCTAAAACATTTTCTTTTTTTTTTTTTCGTTTTTTTTTTTTTTATTGGTTGTTCACTAAAACATTTTCTTTTCTTTGTTTTAAGCCGCCTGATGGCCTTAAAGCGAATGGGAATTGTAAGCGACTATGAGGTATGATAACCCTTTCCAAGTTTTTGAAGACAATTTCAGGAAATGAAAATAATTTCTGTGACAAATTAAATGAAGAACTATTAACCAGAACATATGTGATTTTGCATTTCACAGAAAATCCGTACCTTTGCTGTAGCAATAGTAGGTGTTGGTGGAGTTGGTAGTGTGACGGCTGAAATGCTGACAAGATGTGGTATTGGTAAGGTAAAAATATTTCTCTTTGCCTGTCTCATAGGGAACTCCTCATTCTTGGAGCAAATCAGGTACAAGTTAGGACTTTTTTCCTTACTACTAATGGTCTACTGATTTGTTGTGTATTTATTCAGATTATTCTTTCCATCCAAAAGATTGAGATATATCCCTATCCAAACAAAAACTGATATTATTGATAATTAAGCAAGGACTGTTACAGAAACTTTTTTGTTTGGGGTACTACATAAACAATTTGGACTTAGGTGTTTTAGATATAGATATTTAGGAAAGGAGACTATTAAGTTGATAAAGTATGAGTGAAACACTGAAACATATATAAATTATTTTATTAAACATAATTTAAATGACAAATAGGCTCTCTATCCTGTGTATTTCTTACTCTTGAATTTGTACTAGAAAATATTCCTATTTTTTTAATCCATAGTTTAAAAATTTTTAAAAAATATTTATTTGGATTATGTGTAGGAAAGAAAAGTAAACTTATACCAGAATTCAGTCCATCAGTCTTCGATTTATAAAACCAAGGTCTATGATGTTAGATACATAGTAATTGAATAGATAAGCTTTCCACAGTTATATAATTGTGAAAAACCTTTTAGTTTTTCATTTTGATAAGGCAAACATTTTCCCATATAGTTTACCAGTACTTTGTAATGTGTTGGTGTACCTCTTAAAGCGGTTTCAGATTTGGTACTCATTCATCAATACAAAAACACCATCAAAATTTTGATATTTTTTAAGAGGTTTACAAAGGCAGGCCAAAAATTGCTTATAGCTGATTTTAAGTACATGTTTGGTGAAGATATTAGAGATCAGTGGGGGAGATCCATGGTTCACAAGTTTGTTATCAGAAGCACTTGAAAAGCTTATGAAAACACAGACTGCCAGACCCTGTATCAGTGATTCTGATTCTGTTGGTATGAGGTACATTGTCATTTTAACACCTTCTCAGGTGATCCTAATGATGTTCAAGGGACAAACTAAACTTTGAGAATTGCTGGAGTCTTGCTAGTACTCTAAGTCTGGTCCTAAGTAGTAGCCTCAGCATCACCTGGGAGCTTGTTAGAAATGAAGATTTTCAGCCTTTGGGCAAATGCTCTAGTTGCCTCATCTTTAAGATGAGGATAATAGTACCTATGTATTTAGCTCACATAAGTGTTCAGTGAATTCACATATGGCACCTAATGTCTTAGTTAACTAATGTCATCATCAGACTCTTAAAGCAATCAAATATAGGTCCATTAGTTTGCTATTTGTTAATTTTAGTTTTTTGGAATGTTTTTCATTGAAATAAATTTTTATTTTAGTTACTCCTCTTTGACTATGACAAAGTAGAACTGGCCAATATGAACAGACTTTTCTTCCAGCCTCATCAAGCAGGACTGAGTAAAGTTCAAGCAGCAGAACATACTTTAAGGTAAATGGAATTACATTTAAGGACTATATTCAGTGAAATCTTATTTTATAAATTTGGTATGAGTTAACCTAATACATAGTCCTAAATTTTTTTCTATACAAATGCAGATTTTTACTTACTCTTGGACTTGGGTTGACGAACTTTTTCTGTATGTGGATAGATGGTACATATTTTAGTCTTTGAGGTCCTCATGGTCTCTGCAACTGCTGAACTATAGAGTTGTAGTGTGATAATAGCCACAGATAACACAAAAGTGAATAGGCATATCTGTGCTCCAATAAAACTTCATTTTTGGACTCTGGAATTTGAATTTCATCATTTTCATGTCATTAGATATTATTCCTTTGACTTTTTTCTCAAATATTTAAAAATTGTTCTTAACTTGAAGGCTGTACAAAAATAGGTGGTACACCAGATTTGACCAATGGGCCATAGTGTGTGAACCCCTATACCAAATTGAATATGTGACAAATAAGCTATTTTGTTAGGCTGAGTAGTAAAGATGTAATTCCCCGCACATAGATTGATCCAGGTTGGGGTGAGAATTAAAAAAAAAAAAGAGGTGGAAGAGGACTTTCGATTTTCTCTGAATAGCTTGAATTCCAATTCTCTAACTTAGTCTTTAGCTCTTTCTGTGTTTTCTTAGTGTAGCTACTAATAGTCTTTGTAATCATTCCCTTTTTTCCTCTTAGGAACATTAATCCTGATGTTCTTTTTGAAGTACATAACTATAATATAACCACAATGGAAAACTTTCAACATTTCATGGATAGAATAAGGTAACATTTTATTTATGAGTGTTTTGTAAAAAATGCCCAGCCCAGTTAAGCAAGTTTTAGACAAATCCATTGATTAATTTAGAAATTTGGCAGATTAATATGTTTTTGTGTTTATTAAAATAGTAATTTTTATATATTAAATGGCAGGAGGATTGCAAGTTTGAGGCCAGCCTCAGCAATATAGCGAGACCCTGTCTCAAAATAAAAAATAAAATAAAATGTGGTGGGGATGTGGCTCCAGGATTAAGTACTCCTGGGTTCAATCCCTGGTACCAAAAATAAACAAATAAATAAATAAACAAAATACTTTGATATTTACAATGATTTAATAAAGGACCCTCAATTTAAATTTTGTGTTCTAGATTATACTTCTCTCTGAAATAGTTTTCTTCAGAGATTGTCAGAATACCTCCAAAATAATGAATTGTATTCAATTAGCTTTTATTACATTGATATTTTAGTGAAGCATGAACAAGATTTTAAAAGCTAATATGGAAACAGTTGTGAACAGATTTCATATTTCCTTCATCCTTTTACCACAATGGTATCATTGATTTTATATTCAAATAGTTACTTAATGTTTCATATATACAGGATATTTAATATTAAATACTTATTGATGTTATACTCAAAAATTTAATGAAAGAAGAAAACTGACTGAACAATAAAGTCTAATTAGAATATATTTTCTATTTTGATATTTTTTCAAATAAAATTTGTTTTCTTTGACTAGTAATGGTGGGTTAGAAGAAGGAAATCCTGTTGATCTAGTTCTTAGCTGTGTGGACAATTTTGAAGCTCGGATGGCAATAAATACAGTGAGTTTTTCTGTTACGTTAGATGTAATACTCATGGATTTAACTATATTCTTTTATGATCCCTAGTGTATGATTAGTATACCATCCCCATCTCAAAAATAATTGTGATTTTGAGCCCTTTTTTGTGCTTATTTGTAATGTTCTCTTTGTCTACTTTTAAAATTTATAATAGTTATGGGAAATGTCTAGCTTTGTTGGTATGACAGACATTTCAAGCATCCCACTCTCTCATGCTTATCAGAAGCAAGGAATTTTAACTTTTCAATTAGTATTTTAGATTTTTTATTTTTGAAATTAATATAAATTTTTATATTAACCTGGCAAGATACCTAATAAATTGTAGTTTCAGTTGATAAATAGGTATTTACCAATTCTTTAATACTGATAGTTTATTCTTTAAATAAAAATGGTAATTACCAAGGAATTCAATTATTTGCAGCTTCACTCCTTTTTTTCTTGAAAATTAATTTTTAGAAACCCTTGGTGACTCATTGAGTAAGCTATAACATTTCACAACAAGAATTTATAGTAAACTACTTGCTTTTTTGTTTTCTTCCTTGTTTTCACTTATTTCTATTTAAGGCCTGTAATGAACTTGGACAAACATGGATGGAATCTGGGGTCAGTGAAAATGCAGTTTCGGGGCACATACAGCTTATAATTCCTGGAGAATCTGCTTGTTTTGCGGTATGTGTTATTTGTCTTAGATCTTTTTACATTGTTAGGCACTAGAGTCCTTAGGGGAATTGAAAACGTGTTATAATTCAAAGAAAAAACAAACTTGAATATAATGGAATGCCATTTGAAACATTCATATTTTTCCTTCTTTCTTTTAAAATTGTTTGCCTTTTTTCCTTTTTCATGCAGTGTGCACCACCACTTGTAGTTGCTGCAAATATCGATGAAAAGACTCTTAAACGAGAAGGCGTTTGTGCAGCCAGTCTTCCTACCACTATGGGAGTGGTGGCGGGAATCTTGGTACAAAATGTGTTAAAGTAAGTGAGGGCTAATTTTTCTGAATAGTTTTATATGCTTTTGATAAATATATTTTGTTAAGTTTTCAAAAATTGAAATTATCAGCCAAGTATTTAATTTTTTTAAATTTAGTTTTAAATGTTTTTATTTTATATATGTATATGTGTACTTTTAATCCATGTATATTTACATTAATTTGAAATACATTAACATAACATTAATATGTGTGTGTATGAATGTCCATTTCTCTGATAAGCAAAAAATGCATATTTCATTTTAATTTTTATTCATTTGTTTAAAAAAGGGTTAGGCACATATGTTTCTGTGAGTTATCTTTTAATATCCTTTACCCTGTTTTTTGTTTTGTTGTATATTGAAAACATGCATTTGCAAATATTTTTCCTTTTGTTCCTTTTGTTTTATGCATGATTTTTCTCCTATACAGAAGATTTTAAAGGGAATCACATTGGATGGGCAGGAGAACACAAAAGAACTTTATGGGTTATTGGAAATATTCTGTATCTTGATCTGGTAGTATTTACATGAAGATATAAAATATTTTATTTACTATACATTCACAATTGTGTACTTCACAGTAAATTATATACAAATTTTAATTAATTATATTTAATACCATGTCTCAAGATTTTAAAAAACACTTCTCTCACATTTTGATATCTCTGAAATCAGTATGTGTCTTAAAGTTTAAAAACTGTATAAAATTCCAGCATTTTTGCCGGGTTTCTGTTCTCGTCACTGAAAGGCTCAGGGGTCACTCCAGTTAAACTGGGCTAACTGGGCTGCACAAAATAACCACACAAGAGACACAAATACCTTTTTCTTTGGGGTCACTGTGACGGCTTCTCTGACCTTAAGTGTCCCCAGAAAGAGAGAGAGAGGAGAAGCTATTCAAATGAGGCAAGGGGTCAGGTTTCAAGGGGCTGAGTCTATCTTCATGATGTCCACTGTCAGCAGGTTGACTGACACCTGGGTAGGCCACACTCAAGGGCACAGTAAGAGAAGGGGACACACACAGGCACTTCCATGGAAGATTCTATCCAAAACCGGGCAAGGGGTTATATTACAAAGGAACAGGTGAGCATAGCTTCACCCATGGGGCTGTAGCAAGACACACCCATGCATGAGACACTGACCCTCGCACCCAAGAAGGGTGCCACATTTCTGTGACTGAGAGCCTCAGCACCCAGCCGGGGAGTGTAACTCAGTCACATGTAAGGTTGGCCTCCCACACATTTTATTTTTAGTAGAGGTTCAAAAACTAATAATGCATTCTTTAGGTGATGAAATGGAGTAATCTTTTCTTTCATTCATTAATTCAGCAAATATTCAAGCATCTACTTACGAAGTAGGCTCTGTCAACAAGAGAAAATTTCTGTTTCTGAGTTGCATATTGGAAAAATCATTATGAACTCCAAAATAATTTCTAAAAATTCACTTACTTTCTTTTAGTACTTTTTAATGGGGTTTTCCTTCCTTTAAGTCTATTTTTTTTTTCTAGGTTTCTATTAAATTTTGGTACTGTTAGTTTTTACCTTGGATACAATGCAATGCAAGATTTTTTTCCTACTATGTCCATGAAGCCAAATCCTCAATGTGATGATAAAAATTGCAGGAAGCAGCAGGAAGAATACAAGGTATATGTCAAATGTGTCAGAATGTCTGAGGGATCTTATTGCATAGAATAGTAACTTAAACAGTCAAACAAAAGGAACAGATTTGGATTCTGGAGTTTTATAGTTTTAATTTTATAATTTTAATTTATTCATCATATTTATTAAAAATAAAGATCCTTTTTTGTTTGTGATACCATAAAACTCTGTCTGAATTCTTGATTAATGCTTCAGAGAACTGATAATGATTGAAAACACTAGTATTATTTGATTTCTACAGAAAAAGGTAGCATTATTGCCCAAACCGGAGACTGTTCAAGAAGAGGAAGAGATAATACATGAGGATAATGAGTGGGGTAAGAATTCTTTTATAAATTGAAGACACACATCCAGCAAAATCTTCTGTGATAGAGAATGCAAGGTTACACACATTTTGAATAATTATTGCTCATGAAGTTTCTTCAGAACTGTTACAGAATCTATTTTAATTCAACAGGTATTGAGCTGGTATCTGAGGTTTCAGAAGAGGAATTGAAAAATTCTTCAGGTCCAGTTCCTGACTTACCTGAAGGAATTACAGTGGCATATACAATTCCAAAAAAGGTACTTTTAAAATCTGATTTATCCATAAGTAAATATAAGATAAAATGTATATATATCTTCTTTTATCTTTATTCTAATTAGTAATGCCAATACAATAATTCCTGTTTTGGGTATTTTACATCATAGGCATTAAGATGTGAGAAAGAAGTATTCAGTGTTAAAATGGAGTTGTGCACAGTTTATGTTAAACTTTGAAAACACTGACATAAAATGGTTTTGTTCACTCATTAATAGGTCATGCATAATAGATTTTGATTAAATGAAAATATGATTTTTGTATATTTAGAGCTTTAGCCACAATATCATTTAAAAATACTTCAGTAGACAGTGTAAGTACATTTCTCTAAAGAAGACATTCAAATGGCCAATATAAATATGAAAAATTGCTCAACATCATTAAACATCAGGGTAATGCAAATCAAAACCACAATGAGGTTATCACCTTTATCAAAAAGATAACACATTCTCAAAAGGATTTGCAGAAAATGGAACCTTTACTATTGGTGGAGATATAAATTAGTAGATGCATATGGAAAATGGCATGAAGTTCCTCAAAAATTAAAAGTAGAACAATTTTAAAAATAGAATGTTTGTGGAACAGTGGTTTCACTACTGGGTGTATATCTAAAGAAATGTAATCTTATGTTGAAGAGACATCTATACCTCCGTATTTATTGCAGCATTGTTGACAGGAGTTAAGAAATGAACTCCAGTTAAGTGTTTATTGACTGATTAATGGATAAAGAAAAGTAAGGTGTATATGTACTTTTATCAGTCATAAAAGGATATTTTTGTTATTTGTGACAACATGAATGGAACTAGGGGTCATTATATTTAGTGAAATAAACCAGGCACAGAATGACAGCTATGTCACTCATGTAGAATCTTAAAAACTTAATCGTGTATATATTGAGAATTAAATAGTGCTTACCAGAGGCTGGGGAAAAAATAGGGGAAGTTGGTTAATAGCTACTGAGTTACTGTTAGAGAGTAGAAATAAGTTCTGGTATCCTGTTTCACAGTAGTATGACTTAGATAATGTACTGAACTCTGTATTTCAGAAAGCTAAAAGAAATGATTTTTTAATCATTTCTTTAATTTAATTTAATTTAATGATTTTTAATCATTTCTTTAATTTAATCATTTAATGGGAAGAAGCCCACATTGCAGTGACCAAGAAGCAAGAGAAAGACACTCCACTCTCCAAAAACAAATATATACCCAAAGCCACGCCCCAATTCCCACCTCCTCCAGCCACACTCTACCACTCAGTTACCATTCAGTTAATCCCTAAATAGGGATTAAATCACTGATTGGGTTAAGACTCTTATAATCCAATCCTTTCTCCTAGAACCTTCTTGCACTGTCTTACATGTGAGCTTTCAGGGAGACACCTCACATCTAAACCATAACAATGCCAATAGAAGTACAGTTTTTTGAAAAAAAAAAGTAGTTCACTTATCAAAAATTTTTCTAGGCAGTAGAATGAGATGGATATCATTACCCTAAGTACATGTATGAAGACATGAATGGTGTGAATATACTTTGTGTACAACCAGAGATATGAAAAATTGTGCTCTATATGTGTAATAAGAATTGTAATGCATTCTGCTCTTGTATATAACAAATTAGAATAAAAATTTTTAAAAAAGAAAAAAAAATGTTTTTACCACAAAGAAATGATAAGTGTTTGATAAGATAAGCGAACCCTGATTATATAGTATATACATGTATCAAAACATCACAGGGTACTCCATAAATACATATAATTTTTAGGTCAATTAAAATATATGGTTGAGATATCAAGAATATGAAAATTACTGCCTCATAAATCAAATGCTGGTGGGGAAAGTAAAGAACTGTCCTAAAAATTGCAAGGCATGGGCTGGAGCTATAACTCAGTGACAGAGCACTTGCCTAGCATGTGTGAGGCACTGGGCTTGATCTTTAGCATCAGATAAAAATAAAAGCATTCTATCTAAACTACAAAAAAAAAAAAAAAGATTTTTTAAAATTATAAGCCATATTTATTAGAGGAAATTAATAAACTTGTTGAGCATGGTTAAAGCTTACTGATTCCTAAGCATAAAGAATTCAGTAAGGCTATTTTTTCACTGTATTTTCCTCATTTGTTGACAGCAAGACGACTGTGTACCTGAAGTAACAGTAGAAGATTCTGGAGAAAGCTTGGAAGACCTCATGGCCAAGATGAAGAATATATAGATTATGGACTGGCATATATTTTACTTTTTCTGTGTTTAAGCCTATTCTCTTGAAATTAAAAAAAAAATTCAAAACTGAAAAAACTTAGGGCAAGATTAACTAATGTATGTAATCTTCACTAAATTGTTATACTTTATTAAAATACTGTAGCTGTTGCTCTTTGCTCCTCTTTCCAACTAAATCTAATAGCTGTCCTAAAAGGTTTGCCTTCAGAGTACATATATTATAGCATATCCACCAAAATATCTTGGCCTTTTGAAGGTTGGGGAAGGATCAATCTGATTCTATAGTCTTTATTTCTTTCTAGTAACCCCTTGTAGTCTGTGAAAAGGACATAGACAATAAAGTAGTACAAACAAAAGGAGGACAGGTGCAGCCTATTGATCAGAGCTGGCAAGTGTCTGTCACTGTGTTTGGTTCTACAAGAAAATTGCCCAGAATTACTATCTTGACCAACAGTGATTTTTAAATACTTAACCCATAAAATGAAATTATCCTCTCCAGTGTTTTTGGATTTAATACAAGCTGCAATGTAATCATTGGAGAAGTTTATAAGTTGTGAATTATATACTCAAAACAAGACAAAGGCAAGTAAATGGAACCTGTCTTCATGGGTAGGTAGATAAAGGTACTTTCAGGAAAGTCAAATTTTATTTTATTCTGCACTGACCATGGAAAAGAAATCATTGTTATCTGTAGCATATATATCTTGAGTTTCTGCACTTTATTGGAAAACAAGGTATAAATTTAGACTGATATCCACATTATACCTACCAAATAGGCTACTTCCAAATATTTCATTTAAATTTGATACTTAAGGTAGTGAGATATAGACAAGGGTTGTCCTGGCCAGTAAATATGAAAGAAGAGTTTTAAATTACCTCCACAATGACTAATATATACTGCTTCCTTGGAGGAGGCTCATTTCCTGATTGTGACTACTAAATCGTAAATTGATATAAACTGGTTTTCTCTGGAGTTAACATACAAATAGCAAAGTTTTAGCATTGGTTGGAGTAAATTCTCAATGGTTTGGAGACCAATAAACAACATGTAAGTGTAACCATTGCCAGTAGGCTGTTACTATGCTAATATCTTATTTTGATGATTGTTCCTTTGAAGATATGAATGTCCAGGTTGTATAGGTTGTATCTACAGGGGGAAAATGTTAGTAAAAAGTTAAAAGTACATTCCCTACTTGTAAAATAAAGTTCTAAAAACTGGTTTCAGAAATATATTCAGTATATTAGTTTTGTGATTCTAGAATTACACTGTGATTTTCATTATTATAGTAAAATGAGGAAATAGGAGGATAGTTTTTTAAAAAATATTTTTAGTTATAGATGGATACAGTATCTTATTTCATTTATTCATTTTTTTTAATGTGGTGCTGAGGATTGAACCTAGTGCCTCACATGTGCGAGGCAAGCGCTCTCCCACTGAGCCACAACCCCAGCCCCAGGAGGATGGTTTTTCTAGCCTTAAAACTTCCTTATGTTGCCTTGGTGAGTCTTTTACCATTAAAAAAAAAAAAAATAGTGCATTGAATTATAGAATAGCTCTTCTAGTTACTAAAGATGTTTTGGATTTTTAAAATGAAATGTGGTCTTTCTACAATAATTCTGCTTCAGAAACTGGTACATAAATTTGGTAAGGTCTTACTTATAAATTACTGTTTGATTCAATAAAGTATATAGATTTCACCATCTGAAGACCTTTATTTGGTCTTATACTGGTACAGCATCATGGCTGATGTCTTAACTACACCAAATTTTACTTATTTTAATTTTTTTTGGGGGGGAGGGTTCTAATATCTTTCATAAACTATTGGATTATTTTATCAGAAAAAATATGGTAAACGGTATCTCTTGCAACTTGGAGTGAATGCTTTCTTGACAGTCTGTGTGCCATGAAAACTTGTGTTAAGTAGGCAGCCAATTATGAGGAACTGATCATGACAGAATTTTGCATTAAATAAACCCAGAGTATTTGGTTAGACTTGAAGACAGTAGAGATTCTAATGTGAAAGAGGGAAAAGAAGTAACAATACTGCCTTAGCAGACTCTAACAAATCACTCTTTCATTTCTTTATTATCATCATTAATGGAAAATTAATATATGGTCTGCTCAGATTTTTTTTATGTAGTAGAGAATGTATGTATTATGGTTTTCTTATAAATACTCCCTGGATACTTAGCCCGTCCAATACAGAAAAGTCTGTACTTTTTAAGAATATATTTAAGGAAGCTTTGACTCCTCAGATCATGTTTTTTTCTGTTTTGTTTTCCTATTTCATTTTCATTGATGGATGAATTATGAATAGCAAAATTTGGTTACTACCTATTCAGTTTTATGATTGAGTTGTTTGAAAGCTATCTTTTCTACTGTCAAAGTATAAATGTGAATATAATATTCCTTTTGGAGAACCTCAAATACACATACACACACACAAGATCTCTGTTATAGCTGTGTTTTATCTTAGACATTCTCATGAAAATATATGCTTGTTAGTAATACAATAAATAGATGAAAATAGTTTTTACATTTAATTATTTTTTAAATACATAAAGTGATCATTCTCAACCAAAATTATAATTTTTGCCATCAAGTCACTGTGAATAATAATAGACATTTTTAATATTTTTTCTATGTTTTTCAAGTTCAAATTTTGGAGAAACAAAGAATAAATAAATATTAAGTTTTTTTTTCAAGGTTTTTCCAGAATACTGGTCTCATTATTTCCTAAAGCAATTTTTTTAGGCATGTAACATAATACTTATAATGCATTACTTATATTACTAAATCAGATTTTAAGCTCCAGTAGCTAAATTCTAAAATTAATTTCTGACATTTGTGAATTAATTATTTGTACCTTTCACAGCAAGGTGAATGATATGTTACAGTCATATTTTATTTTCTTTTCCCTCTGTACCTCTCCCAAAAAGGGAAATAAGGATGCTTATTAAGATGCTGCCTAATTTATTTCAAATGAAATAAAACTCTAAGGCCTCAGAGTTTTACCAATGCTTCTCACACTTAAGTGCATATAAATTACCTGGAAATCAAGCTGAAATGCAAATTATGACTTAGAAGGCAGCAGAGTCTAAATATTTAATAGGATCCCAGCGTAAGCAGCAAGGCCTTAGAGAACATTAACCAAGACCCTTGTAGAGTCACTGAAGTTCTTCAAGTTGACCAAACTACTAAATATTGATTACATTCAAGTCTTTTTATTAGCAAATTTTCAATGTATTTCTTAAGTATACAAAATGTAGCCCTGTTATATAAACTAGAGTGGGAAAGTAAATTGCACTTTTATTTTAAACAGTGAAGTATGATTTTTACATTTTTCCTTTACAACTAATACATATTAGAATCTCACAAATGTTAACATTGATGAAGATTTTACTGAGTATAAATACATAAGTGGTATAAATAAATCCGAATGTGGCAATATTTACAAAATCTATAAAAATATTTAATTTTTAGTATAAAAATGAATTTGAGTATGAGGTAAATGAGACAAGTTCAGCTGTTCAAGAAAGATGACAGAATGCTAGGTCCACTTTGGGGCAAGATCAAAGAATAGTGAAGAGTTAGCCTGTTATTACTGCACAGAGGACTCCAGACACTACAGATGTATATAACACAGTCATGAAAAATGCATAATGTGGAGAACACAGAAAGGAAGGTGATTGGCCTGTCAAGGTAAAAGGCAGAATAAAAAAGAAAAACACAGCAATCAAGAATTCCTATAATTAATTTGAACGCAATTCAAACATTTCATAAACATGATCCCTTTATTCGTTTTCTTTGAGGTAGAGGATTAGGCCAGACCACTGCTGAGAAACAAGGAATGGCTGGAAAGGCTCAGGTGGCTCTTGAGAGATGAAAATAATCTTGGAGTTCTTGATTCCCCACCAGCTCTCGGTGAACAGAGACACATCTACTCACAATCCACTCCTCACGTAGTCTTAGAATGGGAATGTGTCTGTGCCCTTGGATCACATACATTAGGAAAAGTAATTATTTTAATCAACTTAAACAGATAAAATTATGACTCAAATATAGTCCAATTCCAGACAAATACCAGTTAAATCATAGAGTAGTAAAAATAAATTTTCTTACCAACATTTTTAAAAAATTTTAAATTCTAATGTTCCAAATGATAATTATTTTATCCTAAGGTATATAACTATAATTGCTGCTGTCACCTTTGTCCTCGAGGAAGGAAAACATTAGGAGAATGAGTGGTTTTTAAGCTGAACGTGTCTCCACTTGATGAATGTCTTGAAGGAGCTTTGCCCCCCAAAAGTGATGTTTCTGCTTCTTTTATCTCCATGGCCCTTTTGTACAGTTCAGCAGCTTTTTCAAAATCTCCTTCTTCGTAGCTTTGAGAGAGAAAAAAAATGAGAACATAAGCTCCTAACAATTCTAAGTGACCTTGAGATAGAAAACAAGCTGTGAACATTTGCTTCTTCCCCCTCTTTTTGCAGTGTTCATGTTCTGTGGACTATTTGCTTCGGTGTCTCATTCACACCATTAAGATCATATTGTAGTGCATTCAGTGAAAGTGCTCAAGGAAGTTCCTATATGCATCCTGAGATATGAGCAAGCAAAACTCAGTGTGCTTAACCGTGAATGGGCTCCAAGGATAGCAAATTTGCTTGTTTTTTCCCCATTGCCAGTTAGTAGCAAAAGTAAACCATCCAATTTGCTATGATACACTCTCATTTTTGGATATGACTTTAGTTTCTCTTGAGATAGAACAGCAAAAAATCACCCCTCTTGTCTCCAAGAAAGAACATTCAGCAATAAATATTTTGTGGTGCTCTGTGATGAGTCAAAACTATTCTAAAAGAATGGGTATACCTGAGGAACGTGAAGAAGATTCTTACCTAAGCACAGCTAAGTTTTTTAATGTTTCTCCAACTCGAGGATGCATCCGACCCAGGCTATCTTCATAAATCTTTAATGCTCTTTCATATAATGGCAAAGCTTCAATGTGTTTTTTCTTATTAAAAAAAAAAGTAATGTACACATAAACACACTGGGTTTCTGAAATTACTATTAATGCTTTTTACACTAAGTTGATCTATTTTGGTAAGCACTTTAAAATGAAATTTATCCTTCAAAAGATATGAGTAAAAAGATTTAACTTATTAATATCATAAAGGGAGATGCAGTATAACAGAAAGTTATATATATAGGTTTTCAACCTGGTCTGGTAACCATTTGACCTTAACCTAACAATATAAATGCAAACCTGTTTCTTTATTACCTAGTGGGTAGATACTATAAGCTTAAAGATAATATTCTACAGACAACTGTAGGAATCTCCAGAATTTAAAAAATAAGCCTATACTCAACTTTACACTCAGGGTTTTACACTCCGAAGGGCACCATCTTACAACTCCAACTTCAATAATTTCTCAAGTATTAAAAATGGAAGCATTAAGTAGAAAATATGACCTTAAATTTTCATTAGTTCATGCTTATCTATATTTTAAACCTTAAAGACATAGAGTTGAAATGTAGGAACTTACCATTTGACAATAAAGAACTGCTAAGTTCACCAAGGCTGTTGCTACGCTAGGGTGCTTTGGGCCAAAGGATTTCTGCCGAATTTCAACAGCCAACTCATACAAAGGTACGGCTTTGTCAAGTTTCCCCTAAAAAACAAAAGTATCATCTAACAAAAATATTAAGGCAATAATACTATCTGATCAGAACTTCCTCCTCAAATACAACTATGTTTTAAACAGTAATCCTGAGGAAAAAAGTCTCAGAAGAATTTTTCTCTGATTTTAATGGTCAAGTTTGTAGATAAGTGAAAAATCTAATAGAATATGTAAGTAAAGTTATACTGAATATAAAACAATTGACAATTTGGAAAGCCCTTTAGGCTCATTTATTATTATTCATTGTTTATAGTGAAAGAAAATATTCTAACTAGACCTTCTTACTGAACTTATTTAGAAATGGTATCAGAATAAAAACTCACTTCTAACCAAATCGCTTCCAGATTTTTCTAATTATTTCCTTCTACTGGAAAGTTGGGCAGATACAGCAACAGTGTACCCTTATTACTAACCATCTATTCAGTGCCACCAGCACCAGCCAGGGTGCCACAAAGTCTAAAGTTTACATAACTCTACCTGTACTCATTAGAAGCAGACTTCTCTGGTGGTGTTTTGGAGAACAGATATAAAAATTTCAAACTTTGCTCCTATGGCAAAGAATGGCTATGGATGTAGGTAAAGTCAAGAAAGTGAAACAAAATGTTTATTTAGTCAACTATCAAGATATTTCCTGCATCCTGACAGCTGGGTGATTTGCTGTTTATGGTGTTTTATACAACAAAGATAGTAATGGTGAGATGAGATTTTAGAACTTCTGAAATGTAATCTAAGCTTCATTTAGAATAATGAATGGATCTGTATTTGGAATATGTTTTCACAAAATCAAATCAGTACCTTAATTAAGTATGAAATAATATTTTTAAATGTATAAAACAGTTCTATAGATTAAAAATTATAATTAAAAAACTCATATAAAATAGTCTATCCGCCAGAAGACAAAATGATTTGCTGATAGTAATTGTGGCTTCATTGGTGTATTATAAAACATGTAAGAATGGCAAGGATTACTTACTGTTTTCTTATACAAGATTGCAAGGTGCTTCACTGTATACGCCAAAGAAGGGTGATCTGGAGCCAAGGCTCGTTTCCGAATATCTAAAGCTCTTTCATAAAGCTCTTCTGCTTTTTCATACTGTTTCTTTTCATTGCACAGAGCTGCCAGATTATTCAGAGACTGGGCACAGTCTGGGTGATCTGGTCCTAGAACTCGCTCCCTCATTTCTAAGGAACGCTTCAGAAACTGGTCAGCGGTTCTAGGAACAAAATCCCAAAGTGGTTTAAACAGCTTATTCTCTGGAAGTCAGAGTCCTGAGCCCTAGTGAGGTGGAAAATTGGATCATTTTTTTTTTATTAGATCCAAGTCAAGGTGGAGGATTCATCTCAAAAATCCTTCCTCTCCACTCTTACTCCCCATCCCCTCCAGTCCTTTGCTTCCTGATAGTTTAAGTTCATAAAATATCTGGATGATTGCCCCGTCATTTCTGCTGAAAGACAAACTCACAAATAATTTCCATAACAATTTCTTACATCTTTACAATTATTAGACCTACATCAAATAAAATATTTTGGCATTCATTCTTTCTTTTTGGAGATTATCCAAAATATTTGTTAATAGAAG